CCATAAGAAGAAAACAAATCCTACCATTTGCAACAGCATGGATCGAGCTAGAGGGTATTATGCTCAGTGAAATAAGCCAGGCAGAGAAAGACAAGTACCAAATGATATCATTCATCTGTGGAGTATAAGAACAAAGGAAAAACTGAAGGAACAAAACAGCAGCAGAATCACAGAACCCAAGAATGGACTAACAGTTACCAAAGGGAAAGGGACTAGGGAGCATGGGGGTGAAGGGAGGGAGAAGGGGTCAAGTAGAAAGGGGGTCTTACGATTAGTATGTATAATGTGGGCGGAGGGCTGTGCAACACAGAGAAGACAAATAGTGATTTTACAGCATCTCACTACACTGATGGACAGTGACTAATGCAGTATGTAGGGGGGACTTGGTGAAGGGGGGAGTCTAGTAAACATAATGTTGGTCATGTAATTGTAGATTAATGATACCTAAAAAAAGGCACACATTTTTGAAAATTGTGAAAATGTACTTAAGTAGGTAAATTAAGTCATTGGCTGAAAATAAATTTTTAAAAGCAAAGTAACTATGAAATACCTAAATTTTATAAAATTGTGAAAATCAACTGAAAGCACACAAAAACTCAATACAGGAATATAAATACACATTTTTAAACCCATTTGCTTTTGGACAATTTACGTGAGGAAAACAATTAAATATGCACAAAAACTGCCAAAGTAGTTATGATTAGCTACTGGCATTGGGAATTTTTAAAGCTAAAACATTGCAAAATAGGCAGCAGTGTGAAAATAAGTTGCAAGACTATGGTAGGTCGATAAAGGTTCCCAGTATTTTGGATATTGTCCTAAAAGTCTTCATTTTATCTGGTTTTGATCAGTTCTTCTGGAACTTGCTACTCAATTGTAGACCTGGCAGGACCTCGCCTAGAGAAAGACCCAACCCAGCTAGGACAGGCCTGTTACTACAAAAGAGTTTCTCCCTATAGCATGGAGTCCATGGCCACTTTGTACATGGATACCTTATTCAGGACACCCACCCACATCTATCAGGAAATGTTGCAGCTCACTAATATTGGGAAGCTGAACTGGTCAAACTTTTCCACTCACTTGGCTAATGCAAGGCATACATCAAGACCTCAGAGCTGTGGGGGGACCATAACACACTAATAGATCTTTGCTGTTATACTCTGGGATATCAGGTGACCTGCCAAGCCAACTCTGGTCCTAAAGTTTCAGCTACCAACTAAGTGCCTGTCTAGGTGGAAAAATCTAATGATGGCTGATGCTAGGGGAGAGGCACAGGAGGAGCTGAGACATTCAATGCAACTGGTGGAGTCAGAATGAAGGGATAAACTTCAGAAGTCACTGAATCTGTTCCTTACTCTCATCTATTGAATATTGAAGGCCTGCCTGGCAATGGGGGCTTGAAAAGTGGCATGGAACCTTTAAGCCCATTATCATGTGATTAGCTCCAAAAGGAGTGAGCTTTCAGGGCCCCTGTTTTAGTCACAGCTTATTTCCTGAATTCTCTACTTATCTACCTACCCAGCCTATTTCTGGTTGCCTAATTTTCTGTCTCTGACCTTGCTCCCACCCCTGATATCTGATGCCAACCTATCCTCAACTGCACCAGGGACCCTGCTGATTTCCGGACCTTCTGGGAAACACCTTGATCCTTTCTAGCTGACCCCTGGTGTCCTTTCCTGCTGTGAGCCTGGGTCCTTGGCATTGCCACTGTCTTTGCCCCAGCCCTCCATGGAAAATATATACTGTTAAATTCCATGTGTAATATGTTTTTCATTATTCTGTAGACATTCTTTCTGGCTAGCCTATTTCTATTTGACTTCCATATTTAGGAATTATTCTCTATCTGACTTACATAGTTAGTGAATGAATCATTTGAGTAATTCTGTTTCAGTGAAGTACCATTTAAAAGTATGTGTTGGACTGCCAACAGATGATAAAGTGGAGACGAATCCGTTCTTTTACCTCCCCTCTGATGGGGTCTGGGCTGCTGACAACAGCTGACTCTGCAACTGCAGGATGCTCCATCAGGACACTTTCTACCTCAAATGGCCCAATTCGGAGACTGGAAAATAAAACATATGAACATATGACAGAAATTTATAAAGGCAAGTAGCAGGTTCACTCCAGAACACTGATGATCAGTTAACATAGACATGTACAGATGAAAAAGAAAATTACCCAGAGGATAATATGATATCATCTGATATTGCAACAAACCAGAAATATCCATCTTCATCCATATAGCCCCTGTCCCCAGTGATGTAGAAATTGCCTCATAGAGTTGAAGCTGTTTTTATAGGATCATTCTAATACTGTTATTGTGAACATGACTCTTCTGTTTAGCTGGATTTTTTAAATGTTCAAGGAGAAAGAAGTGTTTGGTTCCTTTGGAGAAGCCTTAGAATGAAGAGGAGCCAGCACATTAAACAAGGATGAAATTCCACCATTGAGCTAGCCCAATATAAGAAAGGTAACTATAGTTACAAAGCCCAGGCATTCTTCCATCCTGATAATTTTCTTAGATGAGTCATAAAATAAATATTGCAGGAACTTAGAGCTCAAAGGAGTAGCCTAAATGTCTTTTGCTAAGTGGTTGATATCTAACACTGGTAGGAAAAGAAAGAAGTGAATACTCAGTTAAAAGCACCAATACCTAATAATTCTAAGAAGAGGGTTTTTTTTGTTCTGTTTTTATATTTTGTTTTTACACAAAAACAGAGAATTGGTTCTGTAACTGGCAGTAGGAAAAATGAAGTGTTGTTACATTATGTAACCTAGACCTTTGATGTAAACTTTAATTTGTTCATTGTGGTTAGAGATGAAAATATGTTTGCAAATGGTAGGGAGCTTGGAAGGCCTCTGGTGAAAGAGATGTACTTAATCTCACTGCCAGCCATTCTCTATCCCTGCCACTTCTCCCAAGAAGGAAGACCACTAATAAGATTTCAGGAGAATGATTGGATGCTGTTTGAGAGTGGAGAGGATCAGTGTGTATGGAGAGGGCTATCTTCTCTCCAAGGCTCTCTTCTCCTGACCTTCACGGGCCTGGAGCAGTGATCTAGTCCAGGGGGACCACTGTGCACTTCTCTAGTGAGCATTGGAGCATTTCTTGAGTTCCCTGTCTAAGGAATTACCATTCAGGACAATGAATTCTCTCAAGAAAAGGTTGTCCTAAGTGCCCTTTCGAGGCAACAAGGAATAGTTATCAAGCACTTTTTGAGAAATAAATAGCAAACAAGAGGTTATTTAGTAAGTCTCTTACTACATAATGAGTAAAAAAGGCCAAATGGTCGGTTAGGTAGAACTCGAATGCCAATATCTCCTTCTTGTTCAGAAGGTAGAACATTGCCATTTACATCTAAAATCTAGAATAAAACAGAACAATTTATATAAGGGAGTTTTTATTTAATGCCATATTTAAGTCTTTAGTTTGTATCTTTTTTTGTTGCCATTTAAGAATGCAGACTTCAAGAAAACATTAAGTATAGTTTAAATTCCTAAGAGAAATGTGTTCATTTAAATTCCTATTGCAAAAAACAGAGTGCAGGTTAGCAAAATGTGAAGGAATAAAAATTTTCTTTAATTCTACCATTTAGCAATGATCACATTTTGGTGATCTCTTTTGAGAATATATAGATATAGGACAATATAAGACCACTTTATAATGCACTGTTGTACAACCTGCTTTTATCAACATTTTATTTTTATTTTAGCAATACATCTCGATTATCTTGTTCTCTCATGTAAATAGTTCATTACTGGTTTCAAACTCTGTTTAACTGTGGAACAAACAAAACTTTATTTCAGAAGCCCAATGTAAGTAAGCAGGAAAAGGGGAATGTTCTCTGGTTAAGGCAGTGGTAGGTAAGCCAAAGCCTTGCTCTCTTGCCCTCTCCCCAATCTTCCTTATTCCCTGAAGTACCTAATAGAAGCTACTATTTATTACCCACTCCCAGTAATAAATGTTACAGCTCTAATACTTCACATGTATTATTTTTTTACTCCTCTATAACAGTCCTATCTGGTTATAACTATTATTGTATTCATTTTATATATGATGAAACCGAGGTGTAGAGAGTTCAAGCAACACATTACATGATTGAGCTGGAACTCAAATCCCAGCAATCACACTCCAGATCCTATACTTTGCACCATTGTACTTTCTTGTGGAGTCTCCAGAGTTCAATCCAATTTTTAAAAATCCAAATTAGCATTCCTCAGGTTGATTGCTTGTGACGTATACCTGATTTTGCTCTAAATAACTTTAGTCTGTTTCTAAGTATGAACTCCCTACTCTACCTTTATATACATCCAGCAAGAACCCTCAAACCTGAGACATGGCTTGTTTGGAAAATAAGGGAATAATATCTTATCTGGTACTTCCCAGAAAGAAAAGGGCTATGTTCCCAATGAGAAGCTTGAAAGGCAAAGGAATTCTAAATGTAAACCCTAGCTTTTAAGTTCTTGCAAATACAAATAGAGTGCAGTCATCTAAAGATATGCTTGGCTCCAGTATCAAGGAATTACTGATGGAGAGGAGATATTTTAAGAGTTCCAAACACTTATCACAGACTACTCTTTAATAGATGGGAAAAAGACAAATGTCCTGTCTCTGGAGAGAATCATGATCCTCATTGTTCGAAGTGTTTAAATGTGAAAATCATCAGCTTTGAGCTTTGAAGTTGTGAGAATCTGTATTCAGTTGGTTGGAGCAGAATCCCAGATGCCAGAATGTCATTGCAGATGCTCTTAGCTAGACAACAAGAGACCCAATAATAAGAGCTCTTGGGAGAGTTAAAAATGAAGGTAGCTACATTAGGGAAGGGCAAATCAAAAGTACAACAAGATATACACCCATTAAAATAGCTACTTTAAAAAAATAGAATATAAGTGTAGGCAAGGATAAAGAGAAATTAGAAATTTTATGTACTATTGGTAGGAATGTAAAATGGTATAGCTGCTATGCAAAACAGTATGGCAGAGAAAAGAGAACAAAGAACAAAATGTGGTATATCCATACAAGTGAATATTATTCAGCTTTAAAAAGGAAGGAGGGAGCCAAGATGGCAGCGTGAGTAGAGCAGAGGAACTCTCCTCCCAAAACCACATAGAATTATGAAAATATAACAAAGACAACTTCCTAAAATAGAGACCAGAGGACAAAGGACAACATCCAGACCACATCCACACCTGCGAGAACCCAGCACCACACAAAGGGGGTAAGATACAAGCCCTGGCCCAGCGGGACACGAGTGCCCCTCCCCACGGCTCCCGGCGGGTGGAAAGAAACTGGAGTGATTTTTTTCTTTTTTGTTGGCGAGTGCTTTTTGGAAGTCTTAAAGGGTCAGGGACCCTAATACCAGGGAAACAGGGCAGAAAGACTGGTGAGCGGGTGCCTAAGACCAGCGCCTGAGGACAAAGAATATCGTGCGTTTCTCCCTTTTTTTTTTTTCTGGTGAGTGCTTTTTGGAAGCCTTAAAGGGACAGGGAACCCAATACTAGGGAAACAAGGCAGCAAGACCGGTGAACAGGTGCCTGAGACCGGTACCTAAGGACAAAGAAAATTGCGCATTTTTTTCCTTTTTTTTTTTCCTCTTTAGTTATTGCTGTTGTTGTTTTGGTTTGGATAGTGCTTTTTGGAAGTCTTAAAAGGGAAGGACAGGACACAGCCCAGAGGCAGGGAATCTGGGGATCTCTGGGCACTCTAACCCCCTGAGCAACAGGAAGCATGGAGGCCCATTACAGAGATAAATAGCCTCCCGGCCACTCCCCATTCAATGTGGCTCCACCACTTTGGAGAAGCAGCCCCAGCCAGGCCATGCCCACAGCAACAGCATATATAAACTCCATAGCAACTGGGCAGGTAGCAGAAGCCCTGTCTGTGCAGAGCTGCCAAGCATAAGCCACTAGAGGTCGCTATTCTCCCAGGAGAGGAAGGCCACAAACCAACAAGAAGGAAAGCTCTTCCAGTTGTCACTTGTACCAGCTCTGCAAACTATCTCTATCACCATGAAAAGGCAAAACTACAGGCAGACAAAGATCACAGAGACAACACCTGAGAAGGAGACAGACCTAACCAGTCCTCCTGAAAAAGAATTCAACATAAAAATCATGAACATGCTGACAGAGATGCAGAGAAAATGCAAGAGCAATGGGATGAGATGCAGAGAAAAATGCAAGAGCAATGGGATGAAGTCTGGAGGGAGA